CCCAGTCAGACTTGATGCCTGAGAGTCTGAGGAGCCGGATAAAGATAGGGGATTTGGTCCCTGATTAATCCTCCAGGAACACTCAACTCCACTGGTTTTGTCTGAGAAACATGTAAATAAAGAGTTGCTTCTCTTAAAACTGAAAAGGAGGGGGAGGGAGAGAGAAATAAAGAGAAAAGGAAAGAAAATCTGAAAGAGAATTAAGGCCTGCCATCTTGTGGCAATCAAGTGCCGTGAAACCTCTTTTTTTTTTAATTTTTAAAATTTTTTCATTTATTACAATTTATTCACTTTTTTAAAATAAGCTAGTACCCTCACACCAGTTTGCTCCAGTGAATGATTTTCGCATTTGAAAACCTAACATTAGCTTGTCCCTGCCCTTATATCTAAATTGTCCAATTTCTGCAGCAAAAGGCAGGAGGGGCTGTTGAGAGGCTCTGTCCATACAGTCTGTGCACTCACCCAAGTAGGGTTGGAAATACATGGAGGAAAACTGTCTGCACTGAATACATACAGCCTCCATGCTGTGTCAGAAATCAGAGGTTGATGCTGGCTGGCTTCCTCAGTCTCTCTCCACCATTTTTTTTGAGATAGGGTGTCTCATTGAGCCTGGCTCACTGATTTAACTGCACTGGTTGAATAAAGAACCCAGGGACCCTCCTGACCTTTCCCCCAGTGGTAGGATTCTCTAGGAACTGCTGCCATGCCTGGATTTTCTTTTTTAATGTGGTTGCTTGGCATGGAACCAGGTCCCCATGCCATGCAGGTGCAAGCACGTTACCTTCTGAGCCATCTCACCCGTCCAGACTACTTCCCCTTGATACTATTCTCTCAACCAGGATTTCTCCAGCTTTTCTACGTATGACTCCCTTTCACCCTCCACAATTTTACTTCATCCCAAGGGAATACGTATACAAGAGAGGTAAATAAATAAAACGTTTACTGCAAGGAATGATGGTGCAGATCTGTAATCCCAGCACTTGGGAGGCAGAGACGTGTGGATCTCTGACTTCAAGGCCAGCCTGGTCTATACAGAGTGAGTTCTAGGGCTACACAGAGAAGCCCTGCCTCAAAACCCCTCTCACAAACAAACAAACAAACAAGTAAATAAATAAGTAAAAGACGTTCACTGATAATAAATCATAATACAACTTATTTTAAAATGATTTTACATATAATTTTACCACTTACTAAAGATGAAAACAAATATACAAAATGTAAATGTACTTCCTCATTTTAAATTAAGTCTTGGTTGAGCATTTGATACACAGGACACAAAACATCTTTGATAGTTTTCAGAGTTGATTGACTTTTGACTTTATAATCATTAATGTTGAACACAGGGCTTCACATAAACATAGTATACAGAACAGCAGAAGGATGGTTAGGGCCATTTCAGAAATTATTGGAAAATTTGTCCTAATTCTAAGCCCAAATCACTGAATGACTTTTTATTTTTTTAAAGGAAATTCAAGCCAGCAACTCAAATAGCATTTTTTTAAAAAATGTTGAGCCACAGGCAATGAATATCTTTATTTAATTTTCTGCAGTAGGAATTATTCATATATTCTTTTTAAAATTTCATTTTTTATAAATTACAGTTTATTCACGTTGTATCCTAGCTGTAGCCCCCTCCCTCATCCCCTCCTAATCCCATCCTCCCTCCCTTATCTCCTCCCCTGTCCTTCCCCAAGTCCACTGATAGGGGACTGACCTGTGACCCTACCTTATCAGGTCTCATCAGTACTGGCTGCATTGTCTTCCTCTGTGGCCTGGCAAGGCTGCTCCCCCCTCAGGTGGGGGTGATCAAAGAGCCAGCCACTGAGTTCATGTAAAAGATAGTCCCTGTTCCCCTTACTGGGGTACCCAATTAGAGACTGAGCTGCTATGGGCTACATCTGTGCAGGGGTTCTAGGTTATCTCCATGTATGGTCCTTGGTTGGAGTATCAGTCTCAGAAAAGACTCCTGTGCCCAGATTTTTTGGTTCTGTTGCTCTCCTTGTGGAGCTCCTATCCCTGCCAGGTCTTTCTATTTCCCCCTTCTTTCATAAGATTCCCTGCACTCTGCCCCAAAGTTTGACTATGAGTCTCAGCATTTGCTTTGATACCTTTCTGAGTAGAGTCTTTCAAAGGATCTTCTGTGGTAGACTCCTGCCCTGTTCTCTGATGTCCATCCCATTTGCCTTTCTGAGTGAGGATTGATCATCTTACCCAGGTTCCTCCTTGCTTAGCTTCTTTAGGTGTACAGATTTGAGTATGTTTATCCTATATGTCTAATATCCACTTATAAGTGAGTATATACCATGTGTGTCTTTCTGCTTCTGAGATACCTCACTTAAGATGATCTTTTCTAGTTCCCACCATTTGCTGCAAATTTCATGATTTCCTTGTTTTTAATTGCTGAGTAGTATTCCATTGTGTAAAAGTACCACAATTTCTGCATCCATTCCTCAGTTGAGGGACATCCGGATTGTTTCCAGGTTCTGGCTTTTCCAAATAAAGCTGCTATGAACATGGTTGAGCAAACATCCTTGTGTACTTGAGCATATTTTGGATATATGCCTGGGAGTGGTATAGCTGGATCTTGAGGAAGTGCTATTCCTAATTGTCTGAGAAAGTGCCAGATTGATTTCCAAAGTGGTTGTACAAGTTCACATTCCCACCAGCAATGGAGGAGGGTTCCCCCTTTTCCACATCCTCTCCAGCATGTGTTATCACTTGAGTTTTTTATCTTAGCCATTCTAGTAGGTGTAAGGTAAAAATCTCAGGGATGTTTTGATTTGCATTTACCTGATGAGTAAGGATGTTGAGCATTTCTTTAAGTGTTTCTCTGCCATTCAATATTCCTCTATTGTGAATTCTCTGTTTAGCTATTTTTTAATTGGATTACTTGATTTGTTGCTATTTAACTTCTTTAGTTCTTTATATATTCTGGATATTAGCCTTCTGTCAGATATAAGGTTGGTGAAGATCCATTCCCAATCTGTAGGCTGTCGTTTTTTTGTTTTGTTTTGTTTCTGATGACAGTGTCCTTTGCTTTACAGAAGGTTTTCAGATTCCTGAGGTCCCATTTATTGATTGTTACTCTTAGAGCCTGTGCTGTTGGTGTTCTGTTCAGGAAGTTGTCTCCTGTGCCAATGAATTCAAGGCTCTTCCCCAAGTTTTCTTCTAACAGGTTTACTGTGTCTGGTTTTATGTTGAAGTTTTTGATCCACCTGGACTTTAGTATCCGTAGGTGTGTGGGTTTATTTCTGGGTCTTCTATTCGCTTTCATTGAGTCACGATTCTGTTTCTATGCCAGTACCATGTAGTTTTTATTATTATTGCTTTGTAATACGGCTTGAGATCAGGGATGGAGATACCTCCAGATGATCTTTTGTTGTACAGGATTGTTTTAGCAATTCTGTTTTTTTTGTTTGTTTGTTTTTCCATATGAAATTGAGAATTGTCAAAGAGAAATTTTTAAATTCAAACATTCTGAACAACATTAGATGAAGATAAAGTTAATACTTCTACGAAAACATCAAATCTTTGTTTACCATAAGTGATCCATTATATTTCAGTAGGAGTAGAAAACCTTGCATCTACATTAAAAATACTGCAAACCATAATATTTCAGGAAATAGGGGCAGAGCCAGTGCTTGGGCCAGAGTTTCCTGATACTATGACACTTCACAGTACAAAGTGTACATTTTCAGAAAATCAAGGCTGCAGTGGAGTCACATGATTCAGCGTGGATATGCACTGCCAGAAACATCTCACATTCATTGTGCATCTGAGTTTGAGTTTTTTGTTGTTGTTGTTTGTTTGTTTTTGTTTTTTGGTCATTGAACACCTAGAAACATTTCACTCTTGCCAAATTTTCACAACCTCCACATTCAGTTATAGGGATTCCATCTGGTTTCTCAATCCACAGTTTAGGAAGCTAAGCAATAACAACAGTGCTGCATTGGGTAGTGTAGGTATTCTAGACCTTAAAGTATATAGGTAGCGCTGAGGATATAAGGTCTGTGCTTAGCATGTGTGACATCCTAAGTTTGATCCCTGGCACTTAAAAAGGTAACAGAGGAGGTGCTTAAGTTAATTTCATTTTTTTTTTTAAAAAGGACTTACAATGCCTAAGGATTCTGGTATGTTTTAGAGGCCCTAAAACAAACCTAGAGATACTAGGAGACCACTACAGAAGACCAGAGGAAGTAGGGCCTGTGTCTGGTGGCAGTCACACATCCTCCTTTTCTCACTGCCCCACTCATTCACTGGACAACATTTATTAAGTGGATGAGCGTACTAGGAGTACAGGGATGAACAAGTTTTGGGTTGACAGCAGCATGGACTGAAGAAGCTTGTCAATGGATAGTTCACCTGACTTTAGGACTGAACAAGACACAAAGAACAGATAAAGGAAGAGATAAGAGGAAGGTAGTATTCCTGGCTCCTCTCCTTTGTACAGGATAGAAGAAGGAGCCACAGGAATCTTTCTTCAGGCTATGGTTGCCAAGAAGCTTGGGAAAACCTGTATTTTCTTCCCTTGCTTCCTTTATTTTTTCTCATTTCCTCTGATATTTTTTTTCTCCTCCTTTCCTTTTTCTTTCTTTGGTCTTTCTCTTTTGTCTATTTTTGAGCTTCGTTCATCACTGCCCATTCCTCTCTTCTCTATTTCTTCTTTCTTTCTCTTTCTCATGCTATAATCTCCATCGCCGATTTCCTTTCGTTGCCCCCTCTTTTTATTTTATTTTATTTTTTCTGGCTTTTTCTTTTTGGCCTCTCCCCTTCCTTTAGCCTTCCACACCTGGAGAGGTCTCTCTGACTCCCTCTATGGCTGTCCAGATTCGTATAAACACTGACTGAGTTTGCTTCAGAAGATGCTGCAGCAGTCTCACCTGAGGCTGGGCCATTCAGATCTTTGGATTTGGAAACAGAGTCCTCAGACAGGTCTCTGTTTGGGAAACCTTATTGAGTACTTTGGCTGCACGAATACAGTGAAATTCTCCCTTTTCTAGTTCCTGCCTTTATAACTAGCTCTGCATTCAACAAGAAGAGAGCAATACAAGCCGCATCTCCACAGTGGTCTACACACACCCGGGATGCCAGGTAATTTGTTGCTTTTAATTTGCTGTTATGTTTTCCTTTTCTTTCTTTTGTTCTTCCACTCTCTCTCTTCCCCTATCTCTTTTGGTTCTTCAAGACAGGGCTTCTCTGTAGTCACCCTGGTTGTTCTGGAACTCACTTTATGGAGTGAGTAGCCTCAAGCTGAGCGATCCACCTGCCTCTGGAATGCTGGGACAAAGGCTGTGTGTTACCGTGCCTGGATTTCCTAGTCTTTCAAAAAGAGTGAATTTGTTTTGACTTTGTTTTCTTTTGCTTGTTTGGGCAAAGCATGAATTCACTGTGAGTTTGGAAAATACTTGTCTGCTCCCTGGTTTTATGGTGATTTGGTTGTGTGTCTCCAGGGCTTATCTTTGAGGTGGTGTGAGTGAATAAGTGTATGGATGCTTCTTCCTCTGAGAGTCTTTTGAGACAGGATCCCACCAAGTATCTGGCTGTGCTGGAGCACACTATGTAGAGCAAGCTGGCTTTCAACTCTCAGAGATCTGCCTGATCCTGTCTCCTGAGTGTTGGCATTAAAGGAGTACACCACCATGCCCAACAGTTTCTGAGAGTTCTTCATGAACTGTTTTGTGAATTTGAAAGTTGCGTGCTTTTATTCAGCGGGCTTCTCATTGACACTTAATGCATAGGCTGGTAGTCACCTCCACGCTCACCTGAGTGCACTCTTCCTCCATCAGATAAGGGAGACCTAACAACCGCATGTTCAGATCTGCAGGCTGTTTACTAGCAATGAGTTCTTTTTATTCTCAAAAATTATAATATTTAGTTGATCGAGGTGGTGTAAGGTGCAATCCTTACATTTAAGGTGGGGTGGAGTTAAGAGGATCAAGAGGAGTTCAAGGCCATCCTCAGATACACTGTTGAGTTTGAGGCCAACATGAGGTATCGTATGTATGTATGTATGTGTGTATGTATGTGTGTATGCATACACGTACATATGCTGGCCACGGTGGGACATTTGTAATGCCAGCACTTAAGAGACTGAGAAGAGGATTTCTACTAGGTCAACTTGGGTTACACAGTGAAACCTTGCCTCAAAAACTAGTAATATTTACAATGTGGGGTTGACATGGCTCCTTAAGACTTCTTACAGTATTGGGCCACTTCTGAGTATAGTAAGTGACCTCTTGACTTCAATTGCTCCAGATACTGTATGGAGTTCAAGACAGAGTCCCTGACTCCTCACTGTGGTCTGGACAACCGTCCTCTGACTCGATGGATGCACTATCTCCGAGAGGGGTACACCGTGTGTGTGGACTGTCAGCCTCCAGCTATGAACTCCGTGAGCTTGCGTTGTTCCGGAGATGGTCTGGACTCTGATGGGTAAGAAAGGACAACTGACCCAGTTTTCTGCTCACCCGAGGATCTGTCCTTTATGTCCCAGAATGCTGAGCAGTATGTAGCATATCAATGTGGGCAGCAAGGAGAACCTGTCCAGGGCCCCAAATCCAGAGTTTTGATTCTCACTCTGGGACTCAGAGGCTCTCGGAACCAGAAATACACAGGCCAGTTTGGTTATTGGGATTCATTTTAGATTAAGCTCACCAAAGACTACAAAAAACCTGATCATTCCAAACGTACTATAGAACCCTTGAATCTGAATCTCGTGGGTTGGAGACTTCGACTATGTACATCCTTTGTCCCACTTCTTAGGACCAAGTGCACTAGAGTTTTAATAATCTCTTGGGTTAGGACCTAAAAGCTTTTCCTATAAAATGTCACAGAGCAGTTATTTTTGGCTTTTCATCCAATATGTCCTTTGTCATAACTACTATACTTCGAACCATGAAATCAGCTATTGCTACTATTTACACTTTTATTCTAATGAAACTTTATCTGTGAACACCAAATATAAGTTTTGTATGATTTTCATGTGTTGTATGATTTCACTGTATTCTTTTGGTTCCTCTTTAACTCTTTGTTTCTGTTTGAGACAGGGACCTACTCTAGCCAAGGAAAGCCCGGGACTCACTATGTAGGTCAGGGTAGCCAGGGACTCATGGCAGTCCTCCAGAGTCAGCATCATAAGTTAGGAGTGTATGCTGCCATTGCAGAGGACCCTGGTCCAGGTCTCAGCCTCCAAGGCTGGCAGATGTGCTGTGTGCAGTGGGTTTCCCAGGAGCAGTGATACAGACCTTGTGTCTCCATGCAAGCCTCTCCCAATCCTGCACTCACTTTCAGTTGGACTTACTGATGCCACTTAGAGCCAGGAGAGGGAACCCCTGCAGCTATGGACAAAGACCAGTTTCGTCACACACACATAATAGTTTTCAACACGTCGGGTATAACCGGTAAAAAGAGATTAAAGGTAAAATACTGGCCTTTCCAGTTAATCATTATTCCCATCATGTTTTAATATTTAATAATTTGGTTCTCGTTTATTAGTCACTTGTGCCCAGTGGTCTCTACTGAGTTCACCATATGCGCAATAAAGTGGGTAAGGAATTCATATCAAATGAAACCTAATATTTGGATTTAATGTTTTTCTGAATACCTCATCTCTATTTTGACTTTAAATGAATTTATAATTCAATTTGTACCCAATAAAGAAAGCACTTAAACCCTGGTTACTATGAGTGACTTAATGAATAATATTTTTAATTCTCTGGCTTTGCTCTCTTTATACTTCTTCCATTTTTCATTATGAAATCAAAGAGTTGGAATAAAATGAAAGTGGTCTTTTGCTTAGACCCTCCTGACTTAAACATACACAAACACCACTGTCCTGTATGTAGCACCTATATTCACCTGAGAGAAACAGACATGAAAGGCCATGGGCCTAGGTGTTCTTGCGTAGGGATCAATTGGGAACATACACTGACAGAACCCAAGAAGAACACATCTTCTTTGTGAGTATAAAAAGTGGATAGGGACTAGAGATGGCTCTGTGGTTAAGAGCACTGGATGCTTTCCCAGAGAATCCGGGTTTGATTCCCAGCACCCACATGGCAGCTCACATCCACCTGTGACTCCAGTTCCAGAGGGATCTGAGGCCCTCTTCTGGCACCTTCAGGCTACATCTGGGCAAAATACTCATGCGCATAAAATAAAAAATAAATAATTTTAAAAACTGACTTGAATATACTTTGAAAGTGTGTGATCCCTACATGGCTTATGGTTCTTTTGTGGTGATAAAACACCATGATCAAAAGCAACTTGGGAACCAAAGAGTTTATTCAATCTTATAAGTCTCTCACTAAGGGAAGTCAGGGCAGGAACCTGGAGGCAGGAACTGGAGCAGAGGCCATGGAGGAGTGCTGCTTATTATTTGCCCCTCACAGCTTACTTAGCTTTTTACAGCACCCAGGACCACCAACCTAGGGATGACACCACCCACAGTGAGCTGGGCCCCTCTTACATCAAGCATTAATTTAAAAAAATGTACCACAGGCTTGCCCACTGGCCAGTCTGGTGAGATCATTTTCTCAATTGTGGTTCCCTGTTCCTGAACGGCTCTAGCTTGTGTCAATTTGACAAAACACTCGCCAGCACATTATCTTTAAAAACAACAAACAACAACACATTAAGGCTAGAGAGATGGCTAAGCAGTTAAGAGCACTTGCTTGACTGAGTTCCCTGCATTCACATAGAGGCTAACCACCCAGTTCCAGGGGATCAAGAACCCTCTTCGGTCCCCCATGGTCACCAGGCATGCATACAGTACACTTACTTACATGTATGTGGGCAAGATAATTCACACAAATTAAAAATACATAACTTTTAAAAAAAGTTATAATCATGTAGATTAGAATTTCCTTTGGCTTGCTCTTAGTATAACCTACATTTCTACAATATCGTTTCAGAAATCAGACTCTTCGCTGGCAAGCCATTGGCAACCCTCGATGCCAGGGAACTTGGAAAAAAGTGCGTCGAGTAGAACAGTGCTCTTGTCCAGATGTGCACCGCTTCATTTTTATATAGAGCACCTTGGAGCTACTTTATACAGCATGCTTGAGAGTGGGCTAAGTATTGCTAAGCTGCATTCAATGCTTCAGAAGCCTCCAAACACTGCACCAAGTCCCTGGGTACTTACCACTGCCACACTTTGTCATTGAGAAAGAAAACTTTGGGCTAATTCTCAAGGATCACAGTCTCTTCATTTTATTTTTTACTGAGTTATGGATCCCCTCATACTGAAAGCTCGCATGGCCTATGACCTTGACCTTACATTTGGCCACACAATACATGTCTGTTTGTACCAGAGTCACGACCATGGGCTCCAGGTTGGGATAAATTGTTGCTTAAGGGCATTTACGTATTCTTTCTCATTCTCTCTTTTAAAGTCAGAGTCTCACCATGTAGCTTGGAACTCCCTATGTAGACCAGGCTGGCCTCTAATTCATATATATCCCACTGCCTCTGCCTCCTGAATGCTGGGACTGAAGGTGTATGCCACCATGCACCGCTATTCTTTGTCTCTATTCTTCAGGGGGTGGGACTGAAACAGGGTTTCTTTGTGTAGCCTTTGTTGTCCTGGAACTTGCTCTGTAGACCAGGCTGGCCTCAAACTTAAGAGATCTGTGTACCTCTGTCCCTTGAGTGCTGGAATTCAAGGCATGCACCACCTATTCTTAAAGCTTCTCACTCAAACATATATATATATATATATATATATGAACTCACACACATAAAATTCCTATATATTACCTTAAAAGTCTGAACTAATTTCAAGTAAACTATCACAAATAATTTTCTACAGGGAAAGTTGTTAAAATTTCAATAGGTGTTTTGTAATGAAAAGCCAAATACCCATGCTAAAAACATTTTATTATTTTTTTTATTTTAATCACAGGTCATTCACTTGTATCCCAGCCAAAAGCCACCTCCCTCTTTCCCTCCCACTCCCACCCTCCCTCCCTCATCTCCTCCCTGCCCCCTTCCAAGTCCACTTCTAGGGGAGGTCCTCCTCCCCTTCCCTCTGACCCTAGCTTATCAGGTATCTTCAGGCTTGGCTGCAATGTACTTATCTGTGGCCTAGCAAGGATGCTCCTCCCTGGGGGGTAGGGGGAGGAGGGGAAGCTCAATGAGCCAGTCATGAGTTCATGTCAGAAATAATTATTGTCCCTCTTACTAGGGAACTCACTTGGGTACTGAGCTACCATGGGCTACATCCGAGCAGGGGTTTTAGGTTATATCCATACCTGGTCCTTGGTTGGAGAAACAGTCTCATAGAAGACCCCTGTGCCCTGATATATTTGGTTCTTGTGGGGCTCCTGTCCCCTCTAGATCATACTAACTCCCCCTTCTTTCATATCATTCCCTGCACTCTGCCGAAGGTTTGGTTATGAGTTTCAGCATCTGCTTTGATATACTGCTAGGTAGAGTCTTTCAAATGCTCTCTGCGGTAGGCTCCTGTCCTGTTACTTGGCTAAAAAACATTTTTAAAGAAGAAATTTTCTTTGGTTAGCTGAAAAGATCAAACATTGATGCTAGATCAATAGGCATTCCTCAGTGTTACAATTTTAAGAAAATTTGGCACAAATGAATGTGCCAAATGCTTTAATTACAAGCAGTCTATCATCATTCATATCTAAGATAGTTTCCAAAGTTTAGTGCCTGAAGCAGAATAAGACAAGTCTTTTAAAGTCTGTCTTCACTTAGTTGGAGTGTGCTTACTAGTTTTCTTTCTACAGCTCATGTTTGGGGCGAGATGGAGAGGCACAGATGTAGGTAGGAGGCATGGATTTTCCTGCAAATGTTACGATCTCATACACGGGCAATCAAATATTGGTTTTACACTGGTTGGAAGATGCTCACAGACTGAGGATGGCAAGCTGTTCTGGAGCCTGGCCCCGATTCCTCATACGGGACTTTACTTCAGTGAAGATCATCATGAGTGTGCCTAAGACTCCATTACAGGACCTCAACCCTGTTTTATTTTGAAGTAGGTTATAAACGGACAATATTTTATTTGAAGAGTTGAAGCAATATTTAAATGGCATATTCCCTTTGATCTGAATTGAATTACATAATTTAATATAGTTAACTGAAGTACATTTCTTTGGGGGGGGGGCATCACATAACAACAGAAGGCCAACAGCAAGTTTAAAGGGGTGGCAAATGTCTCGGATAGTATTTCTGATTATATTTTCATTTAACTGCTAAAGGTGTTTTAATGGAAAATTTTAATAAACCTTGAATTTTGGGGCTGGAGAGATGGCTCAGCAGTTAAAAGTATGCTCATCACTCTTACAGAGGACCATGGGGATGGCTCACAACCACCTGCAGTTCAGGATGTTTGGTTGGGCACTCTGAGACATAAGCAACAGTTAATTGTACTGGAAGAGGCAAGCAACTTTTAGGTGAGAGAGTAGCTCACTTCTCTTTCTTCCCAAATAAATTAAGTGGATAACTCAGGTGAGGAGGAGACAGTCTCAACTCACTGACTTTAAATATATCTTTTTTTCCCTGAGACAAGGTCTCATGTAATTCAAACTGGCCCCAAACACACTGTTTAGTTGAGGACAACCTTGAGTTTCTGATTTCTCCGCCTCCATCTCTTGGGTGCTAGGATCACAGGTGTGCACCATTACTCTAGGTTTTGGTACTAAAGAGTGAGCCTAGGACATTATGCATGCTAAGTAAGCACTCCAGCAATTGGAACTCTTGTTTTGAAGATCAAAATTTACTGATGGATAAACAAGAGCTGACTGAGGTGGAAGGAACTTCATTCTATGTCATTTAAAGCAGACGAAATCAGCAATGGGACCTTTCTTCTGAAAGGCAGAAGGTTTCTCTCAGTGTAGACTGACTTTCTGAAGATCCCTTGCTTGCTGAGAGAAAACTAGGTCACTTAGAGAGAAACAAAGTTCCTGGAGGAAGCAGACTCTGTTCAGCGTCAGCAAGTATTTAAAACCTTATAGAACAAAACCTCTCAACTCTGAGAGAAAACAAATTTGAACAGCTTTCTGTTCCAGCTGTCACTGATTACGCCTGAAGGCAAGGCTCAGCCTTTCTGACAGGCTTGAGAAGCACTTGTTTACTAAAAGGTTCCTCTTCTTCACAGAGGGAATTTGTAAAGAGACAGGAATTAGAAGACACAAACATAAGGAAGCCAGAGGATCAGAGAGATCCATCATCAGAGTATAATGAGAGTTCTTTAAGGCCTACTGATGGCCTGGCTCATTAATTTTCTTCAAGGAGATCATTACACCAGACACAAAACGGAAGCCAAGAACATCAAAACACAGAAGAACCCAAAGTATTCTTGACATAAAAATCTGGTTCATGTGTATAGGACCATAATAGTATGTGACAATTTATAATGCAACATTTGGAGCTGAATTCAAAAAGGAAATGTTTTTCAAACTGAAGTTCTATATTTAATGAATTATTCACCACATACAAGGAAAAAACAAAGGTATGTTTTAGACAGGTAAAGCATGGGAATCTACTCTGTGCTTCCTTTCTGGGAGGGTTGGGGAGGGGTTGGTGGTCCACCTAGACAGAAAAGGACTGTAAACCAAAGAAGACTACCCAGAGAATAGGGAGCATGCTTAGGAGAGACAAATCAATCGCAGGGCAGAGAGAAAGCTCAGACCAAGCTAGCCATAGGGGAAGAACCCGACTACCTGAAGGCAGGACAAGGCAGCAATGCAGTGACAGAAGGCCCATCCCATGGTAACAAGTTTGGAAATTTTCAGTTTGACTAGCGGAACTGGAGATGTGGAAATTACAGATACGTAGAAACTATGAAGTTTACGTGTAAACAGCTACAGAATTACAATGATATAAACATTATTTTCCATCATTATACAAACTAATGAAAATCATGGCTATTAGCATAGACATGACAAATTCTGAACAACGGTGTGTGAGGAGTGGAGGCGGGTTTAAGTGTGTGTGAGGATGGCAGTTGGGGCTGGAGTATACATAGGAGCAGTGTGCAAGAGAACTAACAACTTGTTTCTATGGTGAGAGGTCAATTAAAAAAAATAGCAAAGAAACACAAGCATATTTTTAAAAAGAAATATTAAAATACCTGAGAAAAAAAGTGAGAAGTGTTGAGAAGAGCCACAAGTAGGGAACACTGAAAGTTGGTGGAAGGGATCTTTACAGTAAGCCATGGCGAGCAATTCTAATTTAAAATTGTCAAGGTGCATTACTAAGCTTCAGAAAGAAACTGCAAATAAAAATATCAAAACATGACACAAGCTCAATACAGCATGATTTTGAGCTACCAAGAATGAGGTGATGAGCAAAGGAGAAGATACAACTTGCTAGTTGTATTGGTCTCATTTTTCTGTTCCCATCACAAACACCTAAGACAACTAATAGAGAAGAATTGTTTTGACTCGGGGTTTTTGAGATCTCAAGCCCTTGAGTCTATAGATCCTGGGCCTGTGGGAAGGCAGAGCATCCTGCCAATGACAGTGTCAGAGGCTGCTCAACTAAGGAACCGGGAGCAGAGGGAGGGAGGGGCCAGGAATCAGCTATAACCTTCAAAGGCTCAGTCCCAGGAGCCTATTTCTTTCCTCCAGTTAAGCCTCACTTCCAAATATCTACCCCTCCCAGATACCACTGTCTGCTGGGGAACTAAGCATTGAAAATATGAACCTGTGGGGAAAATTTCAGTCAAAATATATCACTCTTCTCTTTGCTGTGACCAAGTACATGACTGGAAGCAGTTTAAGTGAGGAAGGGTTTTGGCATATAGAATAAGAATGATGGTGGGGAGGGCTAAGCCAGGCTATAAAATCTCAAATCCTGCTATTAGTAACACACTTTGTCCAGCGAGGCTCTACCTTCTAACAGTTTCATAACCTCCCAAACCATCATCCCCAGCTGGAGATCAAGAGTTCAAACACATGAGCCTCCTGGGGACATTTCAGACTGAAACTATAGCAACATCAGAATGCTTTTCCTGAATTTTATCAGCTTTGTGACATGGGCTGGGAAGAGACATTTAATTCCAGCTACTGGGAAATATGAGGCAGAAGGATAACAAGTTCAAGGCCTATCTTGACTACAGAGAACCTTATGACACAGCATTACATTTGAGTGACTTAACCATAACTCTGGGATCTACTTTAAGAAATACATGATCATAACAGGTTTGTTTTAAACCTTTTACTTTCAATTTTTAATTTCAATCTGTGTGTTTATGTACATGTGAGTGCAGGTGGCAGCAGAAGCCAGAGGTAACAGACCCCTTACAGCTGGAGTTACAGGAGTTTTTAAGCTACTGAATGTGGGGGCTGGGAATTGAACTCAGGTCTTCTGCAAGAACAGTATGTTTTTAACCACTAAGCCATCTCTCGAGCTCCATTTTTTTTAACTAAAAAGATTTATTTTATTCTATATGTACAGTAGTTTAGCCTGTATGTTTGTCTTTACCAAGTGTGTGCAGTGGCCACAAACATCAGAAGATGGTCAGATCCCTTGGAACTGGAGTTACAGATGGTATTTAGCCACCATGTGGGTCCTGGAAATTGAATCTGGGTCCTCTGGGAAAAAAAGCTAGTGCTTCTAACTATTGATCCATCTCTCTATCCCTTGTTTGTTTTCTGAGGTATTTGAGGCCATTGTAGTACATTGTGTCAGCCTCCTAAGCAATCAGGTTATAAGGAGAGCCAACATTTTGGTTTCTGGGTAGTTTTGTTTTGTTTTAGAATCAAGCTATATGTAAAGCACCAAATACTCAATTATGTTGGGGTTTGGTCTAGTGCTATGTATTCCAACGCTGATTACTGGCCCCCAAGATCTTGTTGCAGTTGAGATGAGTACATCCTCATGTACACCAGTCTTCGTTGTGTAAACTTTACTCTACCTAATTCAAAGTAATTGGTTAATAAAGTTGCTGAAAGCTGTGACTGGGCAGAAGAGAAGTAGGTGGAGCATGGACCTTAGGTTTCCCAGCATGGGGTGAGATGAGGACCATGAGGAGGGAGAGGGATAGAGAGGGAGACAGAGAGAAAGGCTGAGGGAGGAGGGGAAGGGGAAAAGAGAGAGGAAGAGCTTGCCACTGGATAGAATGGACTAGGAACACATGGTCAAGGGAACTGTGCCCTGAGGACAGACTGGTTTAGCAGAAGCTACTTGGGAATCATTAGATTGGCAAGCATTTATATGGGTTTTAAGGGCAGTAGGATTAGAATAGCATGGAATCTGCCCAGCATAGTGCCTACAGCTTAATAATAATCATAGTCTTTCTGTGTGAATTATTGGGGAACTAGCTGGTTAAGGAAAACTGCTGCCATATTATTTCCCTGCATACATTATTATTAATACCAATTTACACAATTATAATAAATTGTCCAACTGAATGGCAGACTAATACCAAACCAGTCAGCCAACAAACACTCTGAAAATATCAAAGAACTGATTAGAGGACTGGGGACCCATCTGCCGTGCATCTCATATCTGTAACACTGGTACTTGGAGGCTAAAGTAGGAGGGTTGCTTAAAGTTTGAGATTAACCTGGCCTACAGAATAAAGAAATAAAGGAAGAATTAATCGAATAAGGCCAAGGAGTAAAGGGAGGTGAAGAGTCACGTAGGAGCTGGATGCATCATCATGTGAGGGAGTTGTGATAAGGAAGACTGGGAGATGCAAAATGCGCCTTTCATTAAACATCATTCCAGAGTCTTATAGGCATGAACCAATGGGAGTTTTAAGAGGCTTGGGGAAGCTGACCTATGATCTTACTTTTAGGCTCCTGCTGTGCTTTGCACATGTATAGCATGTGATGTGTCAAAGTTTCACAGTTCTGCTCCCTAGGATTAAAGGTGTTAAACATACATGAAACCTACTTCCTATTCAAAATTCCAAGTTGATAACAGATAAATTCCCCCAAATTACTCATCATAGGATTGCTATTTAGTTGTGAAATTTTTAGAGCACTAGGTAAAATAATGGCAATTTAGATTTGGTGATTTATGAATTATGTTTAGAGTGAGGTTAACTTTTATGTCTATTTTGAACTAATCATCAGCAAACTGAGTAAACATGGTGACTGCAGCATGTGAGGGTTAGGAGGCATACAGCAATTATTAATGTTTCTGTTTATTGTGTAGATAAGAGAACCTAAATTCAAGAATAGAAAAACAATGCATGACACTTTTAAGAAAAATTGGAGGCATTACATAATACTGTATTTCTATTGTAAATATTTCAATAGGTTGAGATTTTTATTCACTTGCTACAAATAAAAATGTCAAAGTGCTAATTATTCTTTGACTAAATATTATAATGAATAAATTCAACAAAAAGCCAACTTCCTTTAAGTGAAACTTCCTTTAGATGAGAGAAATCAAGCTTTTTAAAATTCATGGGTCATTTTGAACATTTATCTCTCTAGTAATAAATCTTCAGTAATTAGAACATTAGCTATAAATCAAGCAACAAAGTCACATCAAAAGACTATTCCAGTTTGGTTCTTTAAAAATATCCATCTCTATATGGCATTTTTGTAAGGTTAGTTTACAGACATGGAATAGAACAAAGAGAAATAGCCATAAATACTTTTTATCTTCTCAGGCTCTTCTTTTTGGATTAAAACAGGACTTGGGAGTGGGTACTTAATCTGATAGGGTTCAACATAACTATATTTTAGAAAAATAAAGATTC